TGTATTTTTTTCATGCAGCAATTAATCATTGCTAACGAAAAAAGGTTCTGAACTGAGTTCGGTTATACATATTTTAAAAGGCTACGTAATATTTAAGATTTTCGTCAAAATTTGATATTAAAATTCTTATAAAAAAAAACTAAATTTTCAAGCATTTCTATTTGGTCTAACAATTTTATCTACAAAGTACCTAATGAATACAAATTACGTGAAAATCTCGTAAAATTGGAATATCTATAAATAGCTCAAAAATTGCTAAAATATTTTGAAAATTTTACTATATCTATATAAGGCAAATACAAGGTTTCAATCTAAATTTCAACAAAAAAACAAAATTGAAAATAATAAAAGCATCATTTTCGTAAATTTTCCCATTTTTTCCAATTATTTGTATAACTGCTTATAAAATCAAAATTACTTCCTCGCTCTAGGAAAATTTCCTTTTTAGAAAACGTGCTACCCTTGAAAATCTAAACAAGATTTCTGGAAGAATTTTTGTGCACAAATAAAAAAATAAAAAAACAAAATAAATATCGTTTTAAAACCAATAACAAATTCCTCGCTTCGTTCAGAATCTAAAAAACTTAATTTAGTAATATAGCTACATTATATACTATTGTCGTTCTGATTAAAAAGACAATCACACACTCTGCCGAAGTGAATTGGCCTATCAAACATACAGATAAGAAAACATTATTTGTGTTTGTACCTATACGTCGGTTTTTTTTTTTTTTGGTATTTTAATTTTTAAGCGAGATAAGCGTATAGTGTATAAGTACGTAAAATATCACAATAATTTAAAAATTGCCGGTATCTCACTTAACTAATTAAAATATCGGAAAAAAAAAATAGTGATAACTCTGTTCCAGTCCACCTTTAGAGGTTGGATTTTAGAAGAAGGGTAGTCTATATGTTACTTCTGATCTAAAACTATATCCGTGCAAAATTTCAACTAAGTCTGTTCGGCAGTTTTAGTGTGAAAGGGTAACATACATCAATCCATCCATCAAAACAAACTTTCGCATTTATAATATTAGTAGGATTATTGGTAACGTTAGGTTATTACAATTAATAATTATTAATTAATACAAGCCTTTCAATATTTAAATAACAGATACCGAAATATAAGTACTAACAAAAGCTGCCCTACGATAATAGGCCGGGCGCAACCACTGTCATATAGGTGATTTAATGTACATCTGTAAGCAACGAAAAGACAATTCTGAGCGGAGTTCGGTTGATAGTGTTGCTTTATCAACAATATATATATATGTCACATGACGGTAAAATAATTACACATGCATTATACATTTTCTCTGATAATACTTGTTTAATATTGTAACTATTTTCTCATTTTTCCTACGTTTTTCCAATTTATTGAGAACGCTCCTGGGAAAATTGAAAAATGACCTCTTTAAAGTACCTACCCAGTCTTATTTTCTTTCAGAAAAAGTGCTGCGCTTAAAAATCGGACAAGAACTATAGGTAGAAAAAATGTACACGGAAAGAAAAAATAAATAAATAAACATCAGTGCAAAACCATAAGCTATTCTATTATTCGTTCCATTCAGAATCTAAAAAATGTCACTATTTACTAAATTGAGATATTTAATGTATTTAGGTTTCCAAACGCAATAATACCACATACAGACATAATACAAATGGTACGTGGAATCATACTGTTAATACGTACGTTCAGAGGCCGGGAACATTGCACGCTAGCAAAATGTGCTTTCCTGACTTTTTTGTTGTTTTTATTTTTTTTTTTTTTACCTCAAACAAAGAACGCCCATATTCGTGTGTCGGCTGCGCAGTGTCGTGACTCGTGTGATAATACGTATATATATATATATACATAAATTTACAATACATAAAACTGATAAAAGTCACGCGAAAGCTCAAAGCCAAAACGAAAATACCCGTTTTACATTTTACAGAGCGCCTCTCTACCTGTACACGCGTTTTCATAACGGTAAACCGTGTAATTATTACGGGTATAATACGTACCCGCGGTTACCGAACCGCACCGCGGCTACACGTGTCTGACCGCGAATCATACCCCTGTGCGTGCCCGTTACGAAAACGTAATGATACGCCGATTTCGTGTTTCGATACGGTCGCGTACGGTCGCGACGCGGCCAAAAGCTCGGCGAACATCATAACGCGGAACGCGCGCGCGCGTTCGAACGGATCGTACGTAAGCTCGCGCCGCGTTATTTCGTTCGCGCCGTTTGCCGGCGATTTTCCCGTTTGATGACCGCGGGTCGCGGTGACCGGGGTCAACGTTTCCGCGCGTACCGGCGGGTCCCGGTCCCGCTAATAAAAATAACATACGAGCGCGGCCAATATTATGCGCCCGCCTGCGTACTACGGCGCCCGAAACGAAATTCGACGTTTCGATGTTATTACGCGTGGCCCGGTCCGGGTTCGGGCGCGGCGGCGTTAACACGCAATGCGGTCGGCGGGCAGTTGAAACGGTTTTATAGCACGCTGCGGTGTCCCGCCGGAAATCGCCGCGAACGGTGCACGCCGTACTGCACCCAACCACCGCCCTGCCGACAAACTACGAAATATCCGTTTGTTCGATGCGAACGCAAGCCCGTGGCGAATTCGCGGTCGGCAGAAGCGTTGCCGAGAGTGCGAGTACGGCCCGCGCGGTATTTCGGAGTTTCGAAAACGTCCGCGTCTCGTTTTATACTATCGCGATAAAGGCCGTTTTTCAAACACGCGCGACGCTCCTCCGGATTTTAATTTTGACGAAATAGGCCGATTGGGAGCACTACTCCGACACTTGAGCTAACAACGCGATGTCGATGAGCAACACATAAAATACTTTCCGTACGTTGTTGGATATTTTACAATCGAACGTTTTTTTAACGATTTTCGTTAAAAAAAAAAAATAAATAAAAAAATAGACTTTCCACTGCCAATACTGGCATCCTGGTAAATAACCCGAAGCATCAAATAATCCGTTTTCAAAATTTAAATCCTTCAAACGTGATTCCTACGGTTTTCTCCGGCCTTTGTGACTATATATCGGCTAAAAAAATATAACACCATCACCAATCCCCGTAAACACCGACAGGTTTAAGATTCTGAGCGCATACAGATATACAATAAATCCCCGTCTGCATCCTACCTTTCCGACTTTCCACCTACACCTGCAGCTGCACCCACGTGCGAAATTTGTCGACTTTTAATATTTTTGCATTTTCTATGCGTCGAAAAAATGCGCAATAAATTCAATATTATATGAATGTTTGGATTATCGAACTCCCCCACTATTGCGCGCAGTGGCGTAAATTGTTCTCGATTTCTGGCGGCACGGTGGATTATTGAAATGTTCGACTTTTCGTTAAATATCTGTCTAATAAACGATTAATTTCCATCTCTACCCGTTTTTTATTTTTGTTTTAATCGAAAATAATAATATTGCGTCATTTGAATACCTAGTAGAAATTTAATTAATTACCACAAAATATGGCTGTATCTGAAATCAATATTTTCTCTTTTATTATTTTTTTTTTTTTTTTTTTACTATTTTTTACCAACAACATATAAAACGAACCGAGTTCATTTGTATTCACGACTCGCGAGTAACCGGTATAAGATCCGTCGAAAAAGAACTATCGGGAAGAACTGTTGAAAAAGAATTCTGCATGTAGGTAAACTCACCGCTGATGTGAGTAAGTACCTATAGATGTCGCTACCTGTTATTCTTACAAAATGTAGAAAATCATCCTGAACAATTTGAATCGCACAATTGTATCAACCTAATGGAAACACGTACAAGTGGCGTGAATGGATAAATAACGTTTTATCTAAAATAAAACGAAAACGAATTAGTCGCCTATGTTTCATACGCATTGAAAATGTTCTCCGTGTATGTCGCGTTTTCGGTATCCATCATAAAAATAAGTTATTTTCGGCCCTTTAAGAAATTATTTATTTACTCGTCTACGGCCGCTCGAATTGCGGCACCGGGAAAAAAAAAATCGAAAATAAGTGTATACGAAATAACCGTCGAAAAGTCTGTTGATTTAAATAATAATAATAATACTAAAAATGTTTACCGGTTATATTATTATCTCAATTACTTATCTAATTACGACACAATACAAATGGAATTAATTCCTGAAATTCTTACGCCGATAAATACTATAATATTCAAAAACACATTATTCAGAACACAAATTAGTGTCGCGGTAGGTACTCGTTAATCATTACGTTCGATGCATCGATGGCTGTTTGGTTTGAGTATGCACTTGATATTATTGTCTGTTCTTCGTTCCGTTTATCGAGTATAAATATTCGTGGATCGTTTTATCGGATACCTGCGCGTCGCGGTCTTGATATTTTCCACGAATAATGAATAATAATAAAACCCACTAGGTTTTTAATCGAAAATTGGTGATCGCGAACACCGTGGCGTTATCTAGTGTCGAACTGGCGCAGCTATCGGAAACGTAATTTCGAGTTCTATATCCGCGTGAAACGTGAAAAGCCGCGATATTTCTTTCAAAACTCGATAAAAACGGTCGCGCAATCGTAACGCACGTCTGTTTCGAACGTACGTGTAAAAAAATGACGGCAGAATCCGAACGGAAAACGGTGAAAATTACGAACAAACAACCGGCAACGCTAATAACAGAATATTAACACCGGACGGTACGTTCGCTCGACGGCCGGCGCGACATCGGAAAATACCTAGCGAGCGATTGAAATAACGACCGCGTTCGCCGACAGATGTCGCGTATCGGAAACGCGGTGAACGATCGCACGCGATTTAAGTCACGGACGACGATTTCCGTCGGCCGCCTCGCGGACAACGGCGCCCGTTTGAAGGGCCGTCCGATTTCGGACGTTGGTGCCGCGGCCCCGGGCCCGTCGGACCACCGGTACCGTGCGAAACGTGCAATACCGACGGCCGGTCGACGGCCTGTACTGCGCGGGCCGGGCGACCGTCGCGGTCTACAAGTACGGGTCCGACAACGGGCAGCCGCATCCTTGATCCAGGGGAGCGACCGGCTCTATGATCGTTTAGTGAGACCGTGCTGCTGACACCCGTATGGAAATTACCCGTGCCCGGCGCCCAAGGGCGTCGAGCACAATTTTTGGACGTCCCTTTACTTTACAAGGGACCAAAATCGACTTTAGACAAACATTCCGGCACGGCACACGATCACCGATGCGGTTCCGATTAAACGTATCGGTGGAACATAGAAGCCGTACGGTCGCGCACCGCGGACAACATTAATTTTACATGCTTCCAATTGCACGATTATTGAAATTTACATTAACGACGTCAATGTTTTAATGACGGGTCACTTTAGATAACAAATCGAGCAATGCTTTGGTTTTACAAATGTTTGCTTTTTTGTTTTTTTTTTCTTTGCTTCTGACAACTATTCTACCAGAGGGTTTGCTCCGATTTACAACGATGACACTTTCTGGGAGGAAATCTGACCGGGGAAGTAAATTTTTTTCCAGTAAATTGGAAAACCCGGAAAAAAAAAACGAGAAAATAGGTACAATGTTTCAAAGAAAATATATAATGTTTATTATGTAATTACTCTCCCTCAATATGGCATATGTTTTGTCGACAAAGCGACACCATATTAACCGAACTCCGGTTTTACGTTAACAATCGTTAATCGTTGCTTACAGGAGTACATTAAATAACCAATAACAGTGGCTGCAATCGTCCCCATCATCCAAAGACGGCTTTTTAGCCTTTCGGGTAATTGTTACTGAATTTTACATTTAATATCGTTTTGGTGGCCACGTAATTCACATTACTGAACGACAATAACAACAATATTGTATACCCACTACTTACCCGCTATCCAGTAATAAAATAAAACCGAAATCGTAATCATCTTCCTGGTTGACAGAAGCCACTTTTGACTGTATTAAAAATCTACTTTCACCGTAATTATCGCGAAATTTCGGCGGCGGGTGTTTGAACCGCCACCCGCCCCCTCCCCGCGCCCACTCCCTTTTGTACGCGCGCGTGCTGTTGTTATTGATTACGATATCGAGATGCGAGGAGCCGATTGCAAAGTATTCCGGTTTTTGGTTCCGGGCGGTTATTTCACTTGTAACCTACATGCGGTACTACGGCATACCTATTGACACGTCAGTATTATTGACCTTAAAGCGACCTGACAACAATAACGTACCGAAAACGTGGACACGTAACGCTAAAAAAATTAACAATACAATAATTGCGTTGTTTTTTGCGCAAAAACCTGTAATCGCCGCGCTATAATACAAAAAAAACGCGGACGAATTTCGCACAATTCGATGTACACCTGTACGCTGCGACGATTAATCTTTGCCGACGAATAACGATTCTGAGCGGTGTTCGGTTATGCATGTTTTGAAAAGCCGTAATAATGACGATTTGAAAACAATGCGTTTCGTAGACTTTCGCGTTTATCCTGCGTTTTTCCCATTTACTATGAAAACCATTGGGAATATCAAAAACGATCATCTACGTAAATTACCACCCTCATCAAATTTTACAGAGAAATAAATAAACAAACATCGTTGTAAAACCAGTACATTCTCCTCGCTTCGCCCAGAATCTATTAACATAAAAGCATTATTTTCGTAAATTTTCCCGTTTTTCCAGATTAGAATGAAAAAATTAACCTTCTCGTAAAAAATTGCCCTTCAAAAAAGGCGCCACACTTGGTACATTTGAGCAAGATTTCTGATAGATAAGTTGTTCACAATATGAAAAAAAAACTTCGCGCGTGGGTGCAGCCACTGTTGTTGGTGGGAAGTTGAGAAGGTAGGATACAGATGGGAATTTAATACCTGACCTAATGCACCTAACCTAAACGATGAACTGTTGCTAACGAAAAAACGATTCTGAGCAAAGTTCAATTGATAATGTCGCTTTATCAGCAATATAATGGTCGTATAATGGTAAAACCAGTACAACGTGCGTTTCCACGACAACGATGATTGTTTGAAACAATAAAAATTTAATGATAACAAAAAATTAATAAAAACGATTGCCAGCGACAACCGGTTTTTAATCTTTCAAATCTTTCTTAAAAAAAAAAAAAAAATATAACAAAAACAAACATCGTCAACAAAGACCGACACATTCCTCGCTACGCTCAGGCTCTGAAAATTATTTATTACAGCGCATTTACTTTTAACAGCCGCCCCCACAAATAAAGTCAACCGGTTAAATGATCAATGTGTACAATTTTACAATGCAATATAATTTCCGGCCGCGCCGCCGCACGGATTGTGTTATTATTATTATATAGTTTTTATTGTCATCGGGGGGTCAGTGTATTTTACGCGCTAAACAACGATTAAATACGCACTTGCACAAAAATAATAGCCGACGAAACGTGGTGCATTCGAACGTGTTCTTGAAATAAACTCAAGAATTATTACACGTAGAGTTTGGTAAGCGTAACGCCCGCTTGGCGGTAAATCCGATGTAAATACAACAACAAACGTCTGCGAATTACGCTGGGCCGGCCGCCCGCGAATACGCAAACAATAACAATAATATATTATGGAAAAAACGCGCGCGGTTTTCAAAAAAAACCGTACGAAACGGAAAAACACACCGAAATATTGATAAGCGGTTTGTCGACTGTCGTAAATGTCGCGGCGGCCTACGTGGATACGCGACTCGTGACAATGGTCGGCGGGAGTAGACGCCAAACTTCAACAATGGATGTCCGTTCGGGAAAACCGTTCGTCCCCGTCGCGCGAACGACGAATTCGGACCCGATCGAGTTTTCATACGCGGACGCACGACGCTCCGGTTACGGTCGATTACGCCTGGACGGCGACGTTTAATCGTTTGACGGATGCTGGCCGCAGAATAAGAAAAGTCGTGTGCACGTTACGTATGCGTAGGCCGCGTGCAAATCGAAAACGGAATCGGAACCGTGCCGATTCCAACGCGACGTGGGCTTGATTTTTGTTTTTGTTTTATTATACGTACTGTCTGCGAACAACTCTTCCGCCGGCAATCTCGGTCCAAACGGACAAAAAATAACTAGTGACCGTTTTCGTCGCGGCGTTTCGGATTGTTTGTTGATGCGCCGAGGCGGTCGTTTTTTTTTTGATTTTTCCAAGCGGTTCACGAAAAAAATAATCGGGAAAACCCGGAAGAAAACATGTCATATGAAAGACACGACAGATATTTACGGTGTTAAAAAAAACGTTTGCGATTTTGGTTGTCTGCGTTCTGCCGTTTAAACGTAACGTGTTTTTAAACAGAAAAAAAAAAAAATGTTTGTCAAGTTGGCGCGTAAGAATGTCGTTTTTTCGATATTCCGCGCGGTCTTCTGAATACTAAAAAATATTACGCGTTAAACACGCGGTGTTTTTTTTTTTTTTTTTTTTTTGTTTACATTCACGTAGTATACGCTCGCTCAGCAGCTACAGAGGGACTGAAATAATGGGTTTTAGAGCCCGGAGCGCGCGGTACAAAACGTAAAGTACGCGGCTCGATATTCCAGCGTGTCGCGCGGAAAAAAACTTGTCGTTACGGAACGGCGATTTTCCTAGAAAAAAAAATAAAAAAACGGCGCCCCCGGGCGCCAAAAATACGAGAACGCGTCGCTCCGGCATAACGCGCGGTTCGAGAGCCGTGAAAATATAAATTGCTCGACGACAAAAACGTCAAACCGGAACACGACGTCGCGATACCGTTTTAACATAACGTACGATTAGTTAATATTCTGTACGACGGGGAAAAACAATAAATAAAAACCCAGGTAAAATGTTACGCCGATCAGAAACTCGAACTCGACACCGCCGCCACTGCCGTTGACGAACCGCCGAGGCGCTTTTAATCACTTTGCCCCGGGCGCCCGGCTTTAATTCGAAGCCGTTTCGCCGCGAAACAATGGAACGAGCCCCGTGCACAATGAAAAAAACTCTGCGCGACACACGGGCGAACGCGGAAACGCGCACGAGGCGGCCAGAGCCGAGGGAAGTTTTTAAGTTTTTAGTGGCGCGCGCGTGTATTACAGCGTTTCGCGATATTTTGTTATCATAATATACGACGGAGAGCAGACGCCAATTATATCAGGGTGATTCACTCATTATCTCGGAAAGCATTGATTTTTTTCGAAAACTTAAGAATCGAACGGTTCTAAAATATTACGTTATCGTTTTTTTCGTGCCACTTATTTTTGGAGGTGAAAAGACTATCTTAGTTTTGATTATCAAACGGCCACCTATTTTTGAAAACGCCTTAAACAGATGGAGTATTGTTCGAAATAAATTTTGGCGTTGGAATTTTTGATTTCCGTCAACCCGTTGACGAGATATTCTCACTTTTGAATTATGGGTGGGGGTGGAGAGAGAGAGAGTAGTGGTGTAAAGTTAAAATTCCGCGCGCACTTCGCTACGCCGACAGCGTGTGTATTACACCGGGAGATTTTGAGTGATAACAGTGTAAAAGCACCCAAAGTATAATAGGTTATAGCTGATAGTCTCTACTACACACGGACAATGTTCACGATACAGACGGTAAGGCCGATTAGCGACGGTAAAGACATATTTATAATCAATGTTTATCGATTGGGTGAAACCACGGTGTGACTCGTGGGTTGTGATGATAATACATTGCAAGATTGAAAACATTTTTTTTTTTTTTTTCCAGCAATACTAATACGGTGTCTATTTCGATACAATTGCTATAACAATTGAAATTATAATACAGCGACTGTGTCTTGAATGGTTTTTTTCTTATTATGATCTCGTATTTTATTTAACGATTTATCAAGCGTATAAGTAATGTTAATTGATACCTGCACATGTGAGTTGGATGCCTACAGAGGACAATGTACAATTAACTGGCAAGTTTTAGCTGTGTAACTGTACAAAATACATTAACATACATATTATTATTATTGTTATGTATCTATACAAATATTCATTTTTTTTTTTTGTTTCAGGCGAATCAATAAGTTTTGTTTTAATGTATATGTAATACCGAATATGCATTACTGACTTGTTATGCCAATCAATATTATTCATATGTTGATAACAACTATCAAGCTCGATTTACAACTGAGTTACACCATAAAACTGTACCGGACATATTTTTCCACAATAAAATTCAGTAAATTGGTTATCTAAGACAATCTAAATTAACTAAAAACACCTTTGGCTAGACGATTTGAACTTTGTTGGATACATTTAAAAATCTTATGCTAATTTGCTATCTTCAAAGAAAACCATAAAATAAGGATGAAACGGTGTGGTAAAATTTCAATATTATGATGGCTAGGTTGATTAATTGAAGTATTATTTTGAAGTACAATTTGCAATTTAGAACAAGTCAAAATAAAAGTATCGCATTTTAATATTTTACTAGACAACAGAATTAAATTAGGTGCGTATGATTATTTTCAACTGCAATATTCAGTATTTTATTGTATTACTACTAAAGATTTTTACTGTCTATTTTTAAATAGTAAAATTAAGTTCAAAGAAGCTTTGACAAAAATCAAGTCCAACCAACTGCAAAGAGAAAACTCTTATCAATTATTATCAAAACTACATACCTATGTATATGTTTTATTTTAAAATGTTTTTTTTCTAGTCAAGTTGGAAGAGGTTACAACATCAATCGTTTAAACTTCAAAAATAGTTTGATATCAATTTAATAAAAATATAACTAACGCAAATGTATAAACATATAACTGTGTAGTTATTGACATTACCGTATTAATGTTCAACTAATAATAATATTATTTTTAAATTAACAGTACTCATGTAAACTATATGCTATTTGCTACAATTTTTACCTAAAATTATACCTACATATTGTATTATATAATATAATGCCAAATATTGACGGTCCTCCTGTAGATGATTGGTGTTGTAACCTTTTTATTATTAAATAAAAAGTACAGTAGAAACCCAATTAACCATCAGTCACGGGACCTGAACTATGACGGTTAATCTAATACATGGTTAACAGAAATTTGGCATTAAATGTATACATTTTATGTGTGTATTTGCAGACAAAAATAATATCATACTAAAAAATAATAAACAAAATAATCCAATGACGGATAATCGAGTTTCTACTGTACTACTAAAGTAATATTATTAGCACTTTTTTGAATTTTACTTTTGTTTAAAGTATGAGGTTATTGAAGTGTTTGTTCAATTTTTTGAATACTGTTCGTTCTTTACACATATTTTGCATAACTGCAGGACAACAATTTTGATTAGACTGTATCATTAAATTTGAAATAGATGTTTCACAGTTCTGACCTAAAATGATAGTAAAATTTTAAGTGCTCATAGTAATATCAATATAAAAACTAGGACCCAAATTTTATGCAAAATCATTGTAGAATATGACCATATTTACATATGCATAACAAAAATGTATTATATGAAAGTAAATATGTGCATACAAATATTTTGATTATATGATAATGTGTTTATTAAAAAAACAATTGAATTGTCATTAATATATCAAATTATAAATTTATGATTGTATAACTGAGCAAAATTTAGATTTTTTTTTATAAATGATTAATGTATGTACAATATTGTAACTATCTAGAAATGTAGCATGGCCATTTTTACTCAAAAAATATAATGTGCATAAAAATATACATATATTTATTAATTAAAGAAATATAACTTAATAACTGATTAATAATAATATACATTTACATAAAAAATACCGGGCCTTAATGACACTGAAATCGTATAAGATATTTATTTTAGATTCTGGGCATAGCAAGGAATGTATTGGTTTTACTAGGTTTATTTTTTTTATGTTTCATTATTACAAGGGCTTATCCCAAACTCTACTTTGTCAAGTGCTGTAACTAGATATTTATGTATACATGTATTCATGTATTATGACTTATTTTAATTTGTTTGTATTTATTTAATATCAAGTGTAGCTACAATATTTAGTTTACATTCTACAATTTACTATTGTATTAATTGTAATAACTTAGAATATTACTACCTATTATTTATCGAATGGAGTGAACAAAATCTTCTTCCTCCTAACCTAACCTAACAAATACAAGGGCCAAGTAATCTCTTTTACGCGTAGTAAAAATCCAACAATATTTTAGTATCAAATTAATAATTATTCTTTTGATGGAGTAAATTCGATTAAAGACTTGGGTATAAACTTTAAAAAAAAATTATAATCAAAATTAAACCATAGAATAATAATATAAGTCATAAAAAATGCTAGGTTTTATCAATCTAAATACGAATGAGTTTAAAAACACTATATGTGTCATTAGTAAGATCTAACCTCGAATTTGATTCACTTATTTGGTCTTGTAATTATTCAAAATATATAAATGATCTTGATAATGTCCAATATAAATTTTTTAAGAGAATTGCTTATGTCTCCGATATATAAATACATCATTAGAGATATCGTTGTCCATTAATGTTGTTGAAAATTGCTTGGCCTACACTCGCTAATATTGGCTGAAATTAGTTTCCGTATACCTAGTAGAAACACTAGGAACTTAAGATTTATAACTGTGTAAAACATAAAATAAGCAAAAAAGAATTACGTAACAATATTAAATCACACTAATCACAGATACGCACAATAAATTTATTGTGCCATAGATAGAATACTAAGAATAGTAACCGTTACAATCACGTGTATAGTTCTAAAACCATGGTTACAACCATATGCAACCGCAGTCTTGAGGGTTTGATAAAATCATAGACCTATAAACTAAGTTTACAAGTCTAAGGATAAAATATGGTTTCGGCGTGTCAGTAGCATTGAACTATAAGTTATCTTATAGTTCAATGGTCAGTAGGTGATGTGTTATCATCACAATCTAAGATCACGAATTAAGAATGTATAAGATATTAATTCGTGCTTAAGATAGAATCGAGGTTGTACCTAATCGCGAGTCGGCCTAATCAGATGACGTCATCGTTTGTATGTAGTAGAGATTATCAGTTATCACCTTTTAAACTCGTTATTACTTAAAACTCCCGGTGTAATACTTAAAACTGTCGGCGTAACGAACTGCACGCGGAATTTTAATTTTACACCACTACTCCCTCCCGCCCGAAACTTAAAAGTGAAATATCTCGTTAACGGGTAGACGGAAATCAAAAATTCTAACACCAAAATTTATTTTTAATAATACTTCATATTTAAAAGTATTTTCAAAATAGGTTGCCGTTTGAAAATCAGAAGTAGATTGTCGTTTTACCCCAAAAAATAAGGGGTTCACAAATAATGATAACGTAACATTTTAGAACTGTTTATTACTTACATTTTTCAAAAACAAAATTTTCGATAAAAGTTAGTACTTCCCGAGGTAATGAGTGTTTCCAATTGAATGAAACATTCTATATATGTAATCACCCTGTATAAAGATGTGGAAATAAGTGTATATAACCGCGGATGCCGTTTTCTAGTGGCAAGACTACATTATATTCACTATTCGCGTGTACGGATGATGATCAGTGGTGTGCCGCGAATCAGGTTTTCTCGAGGCGATTGCATCGTCACTAAAAAATGGTTGAATCTTGAATAATATGTTGAATGTGTCGATTAACGGAGATGCGAAATGCTCTTATAAGTTTTGCACATCATTATGGTAGTTATTATTTTGTCTACTGCGTAGGTATTCTATTTTGTTTTTTTGCTATGTACACGTGTTTATGTTATGTACGCCAAATTGACAATCCTCGACCGGACCGTCCGACTATATTGTACAGTTATTAGACCCGATTACATTAGTGACGATTTTATTATTCATACATAAATTCGATAGAAACTGGGTTAAGATCGTCAAAAGAACGAGAAAGGCTGTGAAAACCGAAATCCAAACTGCTTCAAAATATTAGAATACGCCACCGGTTCGCGATAAAATAATCTAGACCCACAAACAGGCACGTATACAGGGGAATGTTCAACCCCCTCCCTCCTCCGAAATTTCATGAAAATTATGATGAAAGTAGATTTTTAATCGAGTCTCAAAAGTGATTTCTGTCAATGAGGAAGATAAATATAATTGTGGTTTTATTTTATTACTAAATAGTAGCTTGTATATGTTGTTATTATTGTCATTTATAATTGTTTGTGATTTTCCTGCTTTTAGGAAATTATAACTGATACGGTGATATCGTATAGTCCGCATTATCATTACAATAATATGAATTATGTTGTCATTTAGCCTTTACTAAAAAAATATTAAATGTACAATTTAGTAACAGCAGGTACTTAAAAGATTAAAAATGAATATTACAAAATATTGACATTTTTAATGAAGAGTAAATAATCTTGCAATTAAAAGTATGAAAACTTCTTCAATATCAGAATATAAAAGTGTACAACTTTAAACCTATCTCCTCCTCCCCCTCTCAAAAAAAAAAAAAAATATTTTTTTGTAAACGCACCTGCCCGGAGCTATAAGACATGGCAAGTTTGGCTCAGGCCAAGGTAGCAAAATTCAAAATGTATACATGTATAACATGGATAAAGGTTTATATAACTTTAATCAAAATTAATAAAGGCGCGTATTCAGAATAAATATCGGGGAGGACAATGATTAAAGAAATTAAACATTTTGAACTACATATTATTGAACTATAGTATTTAGATGGGTTAGAATAGTATTTTTCAAATTTCAAGGAGAGTTTAAACGCCCGAAATTCCCCCCCCCCTTATGTGTTCGGGTAGTATCCAAGAGCGGGAATTCTCGTGTGACCTGCAGTGTCGCTGAATTAATTTATAAGGCCTCTGAAAGGATCACTGTGTATGGGAAATTATTTATATTCCAAAACTTCCGACGAGATATTTGAATATTATATACGTACAGTTTGTATAATAACAACAGTACCACACGTGTCCTATATGCATACGACGGTATGACGACAGTCGATATTTTATGTTGCGTTGTGTGTATGAAGGTACTATGTGCAGCAATCCGAATCCATTGGCCAACTAAAATATTTACATAATTCTACTTATATATATAGTTCCTATGTATATGTATATGTTCCTATATAATATGTATGAGCTACAAATAGAACTTGCATATTATGTTAATCGTATATATTATTATTATTCGTGGCAGTACCGTATTTAGGATTTTGCTGAGAAGCAAATACTGAATTTGAAAACAGTGCCTTGTCGTATAAAGTTAAAAAAAAAAAACCGAAAAAAAAAATCAATTTTTAATTTATATATTTTTGTAATTAATTTATAATTCAATCTGCTCAAAAATTATCATTGAAATCAAAAAAAATTGTTATACTTAGATACTTACTTAAGCAGACTTGGGTGAAATAATTCTTGAAAAGTATTCATAATAAGTATTCGAATTGCTTTACAACAATAGTATTTTAAGGAATACATCTGTTAAAGTAAATTTAAATGGTTAAAGAGAATTATACATTTTATATTTGATGATAGGTATAATACCATTATGCGTTATATTTGCATTATTGGGAATTTCGAAAAAAATTTCAAATCAAGTACCATCCGGTAAAAAATTACTGATCTTTTAATGTAATCCGTGAACAAATCTGAACATTTTTACTAATTAAAAAAGTTTTTCCCGAAAAATAAAACACGCGTCTTAAAGTTTTAAACACTATAAAACAAAACTGAGAAAAAGTATTTTTTCCAGGAATAAAATACTTTTTAAAAACTATTCGAAATACAGTACTAAATGCTTCATTTGTAATATACTATACCCATGCAATAAGTAATTATAGGTACTATTAATTTGTTTACTATTTAGGTTCTAATCTGACTTCCTTCATATTAAAATGGTTTGTGAACATAGAATTCGTCATAAACAAGAAAATATATATACGTTAACGTAATTCAAGTAATTCAATTGAATTCAGGTTTTATTGGTACATAACGTAACGTTAACACTATAGGTCCCAACAAATCGAATTTTTTCAAACAAAGCAATTTGAATTTAAAATAGGTAGTCTTATGAATAATGGATACTAAACAAATTTTAAAACGAGTGTTAGAAATCACGTAAATATGCCATTGATTCGTTAGTGTCGTATAGTTTTAATAAATTTGATCATGTAGTGGACGGTATGCTAAATATTAACAAAGGTTTGATCCTTGATTTTATTCGAGATAATCGAGAAATTTTACAGATTTGAAATAATTATAAGAGTATGTAATGTATATACACACAATATAATATAATATAATTCTCAGTGATTGAACAAAAATTGTTTTAGATTCTGAGTTTAGCTATGAATGTATTGGTTTTACAAAGATATTTATTTTTTTATTTTGTAAACAACTTTTCTACCAGAAATTTTACTCCGATTATCGAGTATAGTACTATTTTAAAAAAAAAATAACGTTCTCTAAGTGGTACTTTAGAGAGGTTATTTTTTGAAATTCTCATTAATATTTAAGATAATGAGGAAACCTGGTTCTTTAGGTAAAAAGAGATTGAAAGATTAAAAAATAGTTGTCATTGGCAACCGTTTTAATTTATTTTTGTTATTATTAAGAT